ACAGAATGCATTCTAAAAATTTTGCCCTTGGTAATATTCTTATAAGCTGTCTTTCAAAATTTTAGATACTGTGGGTCCCCGTGTGGCATTTGGCTGTTCTTTAGGGGAAGTTAATGTGGGGCAGCTATATGAAATGAAGTAGATAAGTCTATAATAATTTTAAGGTAACAAAAATACTTAATAATCACCAGTTGCCATCTATGTTTATTTTGTTAGCCCTGTCTATCAAATGTCACAGTAGCTGAAGTTGAGCAAAACAATGGTCTTCTATATTTCCTCAAGTGATTAATAACTCCTGGCCTGAAAATTCTATAATTGATTTTATGTTTGAGAGTTAATGTTGATCAAGTATCAAATGAGTTTGGTTATATGGTTCAAAGTGGCAGTCTCCCAGTTATCAGCAGCTTTGAAGAGGCCAACTCCAGACCTGGCTCATTCTTCTCTTGGATGTTTTCCTACAGACTAGGTAGCTTATGTTCCTGTCTGTAAATAGTCTTCTTCATAGGAATCGACCAGAAAAGGTCTTCTAATAACCTCTGGTTTCAGTTTTTAAAAGAATGAAAAAACTTCAGTGTTTTAAACAAGTTTACTGTAGACAGTAAAGAGTTCAGAGTTTACTGTTTTGGGTCATGCTGGGTCAGTGTGCTGCTGCTAGTCACCATTCAGAAGTTTGTTTCTGTAACAGGGAACAGACAGTTATGAAACCTTGCATTTTGAAGGATAAAATGCAAATCTGTGCATCAGGAAGAATCAAACTTAAAGAAGCCTGGGAAAAAAAAAGAAAAAAGGAAAAAAAAGCAAAAAGAAATCTAAGCATCTAATAGTTTGAGAAGGGCTGGTATGTTCAGGCTACCTTGTCAGATATGAGGATGAGACTACGGTGGCTTGGCAGCTTCCCCCTTCTTATTAGCCAGCTGGATTACAGCAGCAGTCCATCCAAGGAAGTAATTCTTACAACCAGATATCTAGCTTCTCTGCCAGCTCACATTTAGTTTTGAAAGCAATTAACTGCAAGGAACTTGATTGCATCCAGCCAGTAATTTCCTTTGGACTCAGAGATAATAACAGAAACAGAAACAGAAATAGTCCTCTGATGCTATACACAATGTAATTTAATGCAATTCTTCTAGCCTTCATCTATATGAATATTAGGTAAATGAGTTTAAAACTTTTTTCTTTTTTCTTTTTTTTTTTTAAAGCTACTGTGACCCCCAAAAGTGATACTTGGTCTAATTATAGCGTATGTATTTTTACTGGAGGTTGCACAGATTTTTGTTATAGCTGCAGCATTTATATTGTAATTAAGGTTGTGTCAGTGTTTCTATTATGACCTTGCTTCAACAAATTATTCCAGGCTGAAACTTGATGTACAGGAGCAAAATTCACTCTTTGCAATGCACAGGAAATAGGCTGTGTTTCTCTGTGTAGCAGTAGCACACTCTCCACTCTTTTTTCTTTCTCATTGTGGTGAGTGTTTTTCTTGTAAATCTCAGTTTGGGTGCAATTCATTTTAAAATTGGCAATAATGTAAAGAAGAACAAGTACAGAAACAGTTTCTCCTATGTGAGTCCTAGGGAAAAAAAAAAGGTAAGCGTAAATGCTTAACTGCACCACGATGCCAAAGCAAAGGCGTTCATGAAAGAATGTTAGGCGTGGAGGGGATATAGATCAGAGAGGAAGCTTCCCAATGAACATAAAAATTCTTGGTCTATGCTGCTTTCTTCCGCAGGTTGGACCTGCCAGCAAGATGACTTTTCTATGTAGAAGTCTATGTGGTCCATCTAGCTTTTCCTTCCCCATCATCAGCTTGATAGTGGGGTCATATGAGCATATAGCTATTTACAATGCACTTCTATTACTATGGCTGGTGTCTAGTACAAAAAGAGGTTATTTTCTTTCAAACTCTCTCTTCCCCACAAGTAGAATGAATGAATGCTTCCCACCCTCGTAATGAAATTGTTCTCCCGAGGAAGAAATGCTTCTCGCCTTTTGCTCCTCCTCCAAAATCCAAGAAAATTCTATCCCTTCCAGTTATTCCTGCCTGATAAAAAGGCAAAGGGAAGGTGCTTGGGAGGCTAGAACCTTCTTCAACAGACAGTGCTTGTCACTAGAGTTCTGGAATTAATCTAATGCTGCTCTTCAGGTTTGATAAGGTTAGGTACCTTGAGTGACTGGCCCTTTACACCACTTCTTTTGTCAGTGGAGAAACTACATCCTCCAGGGGATGATTTAAAACAGTTCTGGAACCTTAAGGCAAATAACCTAACACCTTTGATTTTCCTTTTTCTTAGAATTTGTACATTTTATATGTCATCAGAAAGGAATGGTAATTGAAAAAATGACTGATAATTCTACTTTTAATGCAAAAAGTATACTGACAATTATTTCCCAATTAAGAGTGTTTCCTTCTGCTTTTTAAGAATTTTTTTAAAAATATTTTAAAAGCAGATTGTATTTCTGTTGTAGAATTGTGGAAATAATTAAAGGTTACTGTCTGTATTCTTCCTTCCCACTCTGTTAATGTATCTGCAGGACATAGGGTCAGTAGAAAACTGATGAGGCCAGCAGGAGATTTGAAGCTAATGTGATGTTATGCTCCTAATATCCTCTTCCTAATCATGTACTTAGGAAAATGAGTTAAGCACAAGAAAATATATGCACAAAGGTATATATGTTTTACTTACATTTGACTAAGACCAGTTTCCTTAGTTACTTATTTACATAGTGTTAAAAAAAAACCCTTTCCAATAAAAAAATTTATTTGTTTATCACTTAAGGAGAACAAACAGCAGTTTAATACACAATCAGATAACAGATAAGTTTCCAAAGCCATTCTGCAATTAGAGATGCTTAGGTTTGAATGTGTCCTCTTCCCCTTCCTCCCTGCACCTCTGGTATGCACAGCCGTACTTGCAGCTTGTTGCAATTCAATATAGTGGCTATGATGCTTTGCTCCAGGAAGAAAAAGCTTCATAGATGAGTTATGTTAGCTATAATGTCCAGCCATCGCTTTGTTAGTTACATCTCCATGAAGTAAAGCAACTGTTAAAATATTTGCTTCATTTGTAGACTGAGGGGTGCTCCCATCTCTAAATGATTTACATTATTTACAACAGCATTTTTCTCTGCAGTGAAGTAAGAGGTTGAATTCTGGTTTGAAACGGAAACGACAGTTAGAAGAAACAGTAGTACATTAGGCCGCTTACATGCATTCCTACTGCTTTGAGGATCTGGCTTGTCAGCAAAGTGTAATGTTCTTGAATGTAGTGACTGCTATATTCAAGCCAAAAAGAACCCACAACCCACCACCTAATGAAAGATCTGAAAATGGAAAATTTAATTGAATGGAACTTTGAACAAATTCACACTATCTCCATGCTGCCCGCTGGAAATAATACCCACTGTAACAATTTTTCTTTCATAGCTTCTTATTTGTGTTCTCCTTCTTTCATTTCTTCCTATGTACAACATCAAGCAAACTACCATCTCTGGGAATGTGGGATGTAAAATGTAAGTGGGACTGTCAGCAAAACCTGCTATGTTCCCACTATTTTATTTCCTAGCTGACAAAACAGTTTGCACAGTTTTGTTTAGTTACAATTCAAATAAACCATTACAGATTAGTTTTCCAGAACTTATCGAGTAGCCAAAAGTAAATAAGGAAAATGAATAAAAATAGACATTAAAAAATCAGTATTTTAAATGTGATTCGCAATTATTGGTGAAGCTGTACTCATAGCTAACACTCTTCTCCTCCTTCCTCTTTGTTAGAGGCTTTCCATGCAATAATTCTTCTGATGATATAATAGCCCTTGGATATGATATCATTCTCTTTACTGAATGAAAGCTGACTAGCTTCAAATGTAGAAGTGTACGTAAAGGGGAAAAAAGCAAAAGCCTCAATGCTCATTTTTGAAACAGGATTCCATGAGTATATGAAGATATGATTAAAGAAAAAAAGCCCTGCTACATCTTCATATTAACCTTCAACGTTATAGGTGAACAGTGTTTCCTGCCAAGTCACAGTACCATTCTGTTAGTGCTTGATACAATATTTAGCGTTGTTTCGGGATGTGTGATCACGTGATTCTTACTTTCTACATGGCAACCAATGCAGAAACAATCTGTCAAGGACTGTCATTGAGGATCAATGCTAAATGTTACTCAGCAGGATGCAGACTGTATCTCGGTGGGTGTCCTCCTACTATGCTTTGATTATGTTTGTTGTAAAGAAAAGCCTAGTTGTGCTTACAGCATTCATATTTCACCCCCTCTGTGGAAAACATATTACAGCCTCTTGATTTGTCCCTGTTTCAACAAGATGTGTTGTTTAAAAACATACACACAGCATTTTCAAAGATTCCTTCAGTATAATCTGATTATAAAGGGGTTATGTGACAGTTTGTCTCTGCTGCTCATTGTGTGGCTTAAATCTCTGAGGACAAGCTGACTGAACATCCATACAATTTAGAGTCTGATGGCAGCTGTGGTTCAAAAATGTTATTTTGGGCCAGATCTAGGGTCATCTGAGGAGGCACTTTGGCATACACCAAGGTAACAGAAGGATTTTATACTACTTACTGCTTCTTATAACTTCATTAAGATGACAATACTATAGGCTGGGTACGTGGGGGGAAGATTTAATTAAATAGAGTGGTAGTTTATTAACTTAAGGCGAGAAAGGAAGGGAAAAGAGAGAGAATTTTTTTATACTTTACTGTGTGAGTGAGGAGTAGTAAACCTACAGAAAAATCTTCATCTTAGCGTTGATAAATAGATAGGGTTATATATTGTGAAAGAGAAAACAGATATTACACTGGACAGCAAGCTGACCTATTGCTTTTATAAAAGGATATTTAAAGCAAAAATATGTATTTCAGAGAGCATGTCTGTGTTTTCCGCATGACAAAAACACTCACCCATGACTTCCCATTGCCTCTTAATGTTTCCTGTCTTTGATACAGTTTTATAACACTGGTGCTCTACTAACAAACTTCCAGGCATGAACGAATACATACTAGAAGACCTTACCATGTGGATGGAGCTGACAAGTACTCTCTAGATGATGATCTGGTAAATCTAGAAGTTCTAGATGAGGTACTGTACTGTCTGAGTAGCAATTTCTGACAATTGTGCCTCACATTTTGCCTGTTTCTGCTTTTTAGGCTTCTTTTAACAGAATGAGAAGAGTTCCTTCTTGCAAGCTTTTGTCTCACCATGGCAAAGGAATTGTCATGTGATTCATCTGCTATCATCACTTCGTTAATATTCTATATAGTGACATAAAAGCAGTAGCATTGAATCCTGTTATGTGGAAGAATTTAATTATGAGTGATGCTAGTTTAAATTATTTTGTGAGGTTTCCTAAAATGTGAAGTTTAGTCATGAAGATCTAGATTTAAGTGCTTTTTCCTAAAATTGATGAATTTATATAGAGTAATATGGTATCTACAGGTTCTGGATAAAAAGTGATAAAACAATCTCAGTTCCATATTTCACTATATCACCTATATGCAGAGTATCTGTAAATTTTTGTTTTGATGATCCTTAAATTGCATGCCAGCAAGAAAAAGACATAATACTAAATTGTGCTAGTGTCCTGTTTAAAACAGTCTCTTACTACCACTTAAAATTTAATCCTTGAAAAATTATTATCCATGTTTCATGGTCAAATAAAAAATTAAGTGGAAATGTACTATGAAGTGCAGCAATAATGTGCATGGCCATTTTCTCTTCAGAAGGTTTGCTTCTCAGGCTGGTGTAACAAAATACGTACTAATCTGGAATTAGGAGTTGCCATTTAATTTAGTTTTATGGCATTAGCAAGAATTTTGAAAATATTTGTTTGGTTTTGTGGTGTTGGCATTTGAAAAATAATTAGTAACACTTATAATAAGTATTTCTTAATCAGTGTTCTCAGGATATTTACAAAAATCTTCCTAACTGGGAAAATATGGTTTAACTATCAAACTTTTTGTAATCTTCTCAGGATACAATAATCCATCAGCTGCAGAAACGCTATGCTGACTTACAAATTTATACTTATGTCGGAGACATTTTAATAGCCTTAAACCCCTTCCAGAATCTCAGCATTTATTCTCCCCAGGTAAGAGAGATTCCAAGCTGTGGACAGTACTCACTTTACATTTTATATTAACAGCACTGGCTAAAATACTTAAGTGATGTTGGAAACTAGGAGCACAGACTAAACCCCAGCCTTTTCTTCTTCCAGAAAAGTGTGGCTACAAATCTTTTTTTAATTCAGTCTCATTTGATTTCATTCCTTTCTGCTTGGTGGCACAAATTCCACAGGAGGGATGAAGATTACCCCAGCCACAGCTGTGCCTCTTGTCTGGCATTTAGGGCTTTCTTCTGGGAAACAGAAGATGGTTATATGAACCTCCTCATGCTGAGGCTGTTGCTTCCTGAAGAATTGCTCCGACTATTGGGTTGTTACATGTCCTGTGCCATCAGCTGCTGCTTAAAAGAAACAAGTGAATCAAATGCTGTAAAGATAGAGGCAGCTTAATTCCCTACAAATATGAAGAGAGGTGAAGGCATAAATCTTAGTCTCCATGGGTGCCTAAATCAGGGTTGTAGGTAGAGGGGCCAGATTTCAGATTCACTGTTATCTTTGAAGTTTCTTTTGTATAGGTTGGGTATTTCCTTGGTTGAATGCTTGTGTTTGAAATTCTGTTCCTTGTGATACAGTTCTCTTCACTGTCTTGTGCGGGAAATGTTGGAGTGCATTTTAGGTGTTTTAATTTGTATTCTGGAAGTTGGGCAGTGCCAAGAATTACAACTCTTCTTCCAGGTGATTCAGTGGAAATTCTGTGATAAAACAAGCAAATACCTTCTGTTGAACAGGCAGAAGATAGTCACTGTCCTCTTTTCAGTTCTTAATTATGTAGCTAAGTTGCATATTTTGACTATTGTGTGTTCTTTTTTAAATTTAGTTCTCCAAGCTTTACCATGGTGTGAAGCGTTCATCAAATCCCCCCCACATATTTGCCTCTGCAGATGCTGCCTACCAAAGTATGGTTACATTCAGCAAAGATCAGGTAAGAATCTGTTTGTTTTGTTTTAGATTTCATTTTAATCATACTGTCACTATGCTACATGGCTATGGCTAATGTTCTGTTATGTTGTACTTTGGGAATTTTTTTCTTTAAGCCTTTTATTCCTACATCAGGAAAACCAGAGTAGAAATCTAGTCAGGTTTGGGAATTCTGAAGAGGACACCGTGGCATAAAATAGCCTAAAAGGTCAAATAAGATGATAGGGTTACCTGACCAATATAGTTTCCTGGACACCCATGAAGTCCTGGCAGTTGACACCAGATGCAGTGTTGCTGCATGCTCTGATTCTAGCCTGTCTTGCACTAGGTTTTGTAATAATTTACACCTGTGTAAAATAGGAGGGTCTCAATGCCATAGCAGATTAACAGAGTTTGAACCACTTTTCCGTTGCATAGACACTATCAAGCAATGGATGATCAATTACTTTAACTACAAGTCACAAAAAATAGGAACCATTAACTAATTTTTTTTAGTAAAATATATTAAGGATAGGTCTACTATAAATGTAATTTATATTACATTTATATTAGAGGCACACATCCGATTATATAGTAATGATTTTAATGAGAATGAAATACCATGCTGTACAAGCTGGATTTCTTTTTATTGCATTAAGATTGTAACTTTGTACTCTTTCTAATTTGATGTGCTGTATGTACATGAATAATGAGGGTTAATAATTATTTTTATTTATAAAATCCTCCTGATTTTACCCTGCACATCACACGATAATCCATAGAAAATGCTTTTTTAAAATCACAAAAGCAGAATAAAATAATAAAAAACCTGCAATCAGAAAATACCAAGCAAAGAAGACAAATAAAAGGGACATTGAAGAAGAAGAAGAAAAAAGTTCTACTGAGTATGTGGAAGTACACTGGCCTGAGAGATGGCTAGTACTTCTTTAATGGCTTATATGTTCTTTGATGGAGGCGTTAAAGAAAACAAGTACCCATGTGGAATAAGTTAGATAACAAGTGAGAACTTGTTATCTGGGGAAAAAAAATTAGTTTTGACATCAGCCCATCAGGCTAACTTTGCACATCATTAATATTATATGTTTCATACCCGTTTAAGAAGTAATTTGCATTTAGATCTAAATCAGTTTCCTATATTCTGTTTGCAAAGGATTACAGGAGCATGTTTATCTCCATTACCTGGCCAATGTTATGTTGGTTCTTCAGGTAAAGGTGCTGTGCTGATTCTGTTTGTTTTATCCATTGAGCTTTCCTTTGTATTTTCCTGTGAAGCCTGAAAATTGACTCCAGGGCTAACACTTCTCCTGAAGCTAAAGTCAAGTTCTGGCCAATTCTACAAGAGTTCTATGAGTTGTACAAAAACTCATGGGCTTTAACTGTATAAACTGTTGTACGTGACTTCTCTAGTCAAACAAAGACAATTAAGTTAGGTATCGTAACCCTGTAAATCCATCATCGGGTTATCTGTTTCCAAGAACAAAAATACCCGACAAGAAGCAAATAAATGAGCTGCAAATGTCATATTGCACACATTATTTAGAGTCAATCCCTGCACCTGCTGTCAGACACCACAAGACACCACCAGAGAACTGCTACATCTTTCAAACTTCTTCACAAAGCTCAGTTCTATATGAAGTGTCATTGCATCAAGTATTTTAGGACCTTGTATCTTTTCCCAGCCAAGAATCTCGTAAGTTCACAGTGTGGTGCAAATAATTTTTAGGTGTTTGCATAAAAACACAGGAATCTATGCAACTGCTCAGTGTTAACATTTTAATTATATGTCAGTTGATACTGTACCTTAAGTAGACTAATATTTGTACTGGTGATCTGTAGAACACATGAAAAAATGGGAAAATAATAAATGCTGTTAGAATTCTTACTTGCTATGACCTGAAGTGTTCATGCTTCAGTGTTCAGGTGTGAACTGGCCTTCAAGGTGTACTAGCCTTCTACTTCCATCTTGTCCATGAAGCATAACAGCAGAGAGGAGGATACCAAGTGTTTTAGACCATTCTAGCTAATCCCTGAGTCTGGAAGCCATTTGGAGAGCCTATAAAATACCATGTGTTAAGGACTGCTGACTCAGGAAGAAGATGGATATGTTCTCCCAGAATCATCCAATGAACTGATGCATATTTTTCTGAAATGTTTAGATGCTAGTTTGCTGTTCTAGCTTGAATATCAGCGTCACCTACAGAATAACCTCTCTACAAAGCAGCAATTATTTAAAATTATTTTTAAAGCCAGGAGCAGACTTTTGGTCAGTGTATTAAATACAGCTGTACCTTGTGTTTCATGGAAGTCAATGCAGTGAGCTCAGATGCACTGTTGAATTATGTCACATCAACTGCGCTGTGGCAATCTTCTGAGTTTTAAACATTTGAAACAAGCTGCATATGTGCATAGCATGTGTTAGCCTGTAGACGTGGTCACTCGTTTATGTGTCTTAGCCCTTAGAAATTCAGTCACTGCTTCACACATACGCACATTGCTATCAGGCATTGCGAGACACATTTTAGTAATCTAGGGAATACATTATTATACTGAGCCTTTGCTGATCTTTCCTTTCAGAAGGGAGTTGAGGGAGTTGACCCTTAAAGTATTTTGTAGTCTTGGTATTAAACATTAAATAACAGATAGGAGCAGTAACAGTTTAAATCAACCATGTGGTGAGTTGTGCACTTAACTTTTGTTTTGTGTGTTCAGTGCATCATCATCAGTGGGGAAAGTGGTGCTGGAAAGACAGAAAGTGCCCATCTGATCGTCCAACATTTGACCTTCTTGGGAAAGGTATTTCTTAGTCAATCATGTAAAACTATGAACAAATCCTCCTAACCCCACCTCCAGTTTCCACTTTATTTAAGCTTTAATACTTAAAGCTGTTCACGTGAATTGTCTCACTTGAGACACTCCCTAAGGACAGAGTAATCATGCATGTGAGAGTATTGAATTAAGATACTTGAGCCTGACCCACACCAAGCCATTCAATATTTTTTTAAAGAGAAGGTGCCAGATCCGAGTGTTCAGTGCCTGTAGTTATCTACAGTGTTTATCACATATACTGTTGTTCATTTATACAATAAAGAAAGACAGATCTTGCTATGGCTCTAATCTTAGAAGCTCTTACACATTTAAATGTTATGAGTAATGCTATTAGTGCAAAATGATAGGAAAATCAAGTGTGTAAGTTTAACCTTAAGTAGATGTGTTTAGTTTTTGATGGTTTTGGTACTCTAACTAATTATATGACACCTCAGAGGCAGAACAATTGCAGAGAAAGAAGAATCTGTTTTTTCCTACCTGTGGGAGCGTTCCTCATCAATTTGTTGGCCCTGTTGTTGTATAAGTAGAAAGGTTAACACAGTATCTAAGTCTATACAAGCATGAGAAAGGGGTGCTATGCTTCTGAAGCAAGAATTGGATTCTGGGTAAGCAGCATATTCTTTTAATGATCCTTCTGATCTGTATCTGTTCTGTCAAGGCCAATAACCGTGCTTTGCGTGAGAAAATTCTTCAGGTGAATCCTCTGGTTGAAGCATTTGGGAATGCCTGCACTGCCATCAATGACAACTCAAGTCGCTTTGGAAAATATCTGGAAATGATGTTTACGCCCACGGGAGCTGTAATGGGGGCAAAGATTTCCGAATATCTACTTGAAAAATCAAGGGTCATAAAACAGGCTGTGTAGGTACATTAATTGTCTGTCCTTTCACATTTATATAATGTTTGGATTCTGTTTAATTCTCCAAAATTCTTTATTTTAAAAGCTTTTATGTCTTCTGCTAAAGCAGTGATCCTTTGTACAGTGCTATGACGACAAGAATAGGCAGTTAGGTTCTTTTAGAGTGGAAGCCAGAGCTGCTCCATTCTTCGGAGAAATACTGTGGTTGGCTGGGTTTTCTGTGTTTCACAGTTGCTGATCCTACACCATTAAAACAAGTGGGAGATTTGCTATCTACTTCAGCGAGCTCATGATAAGAACTTCTACTTTTACATTGTACAAGATGCCACAAGAATAAACACGTGTGCTTTAAAAGGATGCTTTTTTTTTTCTTCCAGGGGAGAGAAAAATTTCCATATATTTTATTATATTTATGCTGGCCTTTATCATCAGAAGAAACTTTCTGAATATAGACTTCCCGATAAAAAGCCTCCTAGGTAACTATCACTCACTTGTTTTAACTGCTCATTGTAATTAGCTATTGATCAGCTCTTGCTTTCAGTATGATGCCTTAAAATCTCTCTTAATCCTTCTCCATCTCTTAAGGATCTTTTTTAATCCTCCCAAGCAAAGAAGAGGGTGGACAACAAGGCATAACGTTATTTGTATTTGTTTGAGAACTTGAACTATTCAAAGAGGAGGAGGAAGAACCAAGCTTATGTAGATACTCTGTCATACTTTCAAATCAGGACAATCACCTTATAACTTCTTACTGTAATGCTTCAGTAAGAACCCAGAATATGCTTTGGAGTTGTGGTTTTTAATTAGTATTTGTACTTTGGGTGCATCTGATCTGTGTTGGGTGAGGGGATGTGTGTGAAATGTTGGTAACACTATAATAGATATTAACAAAGAATAAGCAAAAGTTAGTGCAACAGAAACAAAAACTTCTTATGAATTACCACCAAAGTATAGAATTGGAAGATACTGAAATAAATGTTCTTTCCAGTTACTGAGGTACTTGCATTGAAGTCACTGGAGGTTTTACTGGCATATCTGCTAGTATGATGCTTCCTTTCTCCCACTCTATTTAGATATATTGATAATGAAACTGGAAGAGTATTGCATGATATTGTTACTAAAGATTCCTATGGAAGACAATTTGAAGCGATTCAGCATTGCTTTAGAATTATAGGATTCACTGACGAGGTAAGAGATCCAGTTGCTAAACCATTATTGACCTTCTTTATAAAAACCACCTCCAGTGCTGCCTGTGCACAGGCTGCCATTTGATTTTGTGGATACACACCTGTGCCGCAGAACCTCTCTTATGACAGAATTGAACTATGAAAGCATAACCACACACTTGGAAGCCAAGACCAGCCTGAGGTCTCAGTTGGTACTCAGGCAAGTCCATTCACAATTCTGTATCGCACTGTTTTCTGTGTCAATAGGAGCTTACTTGAATTTGTAGAACTTGGTCTCAGCTACAAGCTTGAATAACCATTCCAGTGCCCACGTTTTTCCTTCATGGCCTAAATATAATCTATATATCTAACTGGATTCCTTAAAAGTGCTTCTTGTCATCTTTTACAGGAAGTGTACTCAGTGTACAGAATTCTGACTGGAATCTTAAATACTGGAAATATTGAGTTTGCTGCCATTTCTTCAAAACACCAAACAGATAAAAGTGAGGTTCCCAACCCAGAAGCCTTAGATAATGGTAAATACATTTTAACATTGTCAGTTCTGTAAATGCAATTTGACTGTATTTGTGAGAATCTCTAACTCGTGATAACAATTGGGCAATGCTGGTGATTTCCACTGCATAATCACAGTCATGTATCTTTTTTCCACTGTCTTTCAGCTGCTGCACTACTAAGTATTGGGTCAGAAGAACTTCAAGAGGCCCTAACCTCCCACTGTGTTGTAACACGAGGGGAGACTATTATCCGAACAAACACCGTGGACAAAGCAGCTGACGTGCGAGATGCCATGTCTAAAGCACTTTATGGCCGGCTCTTCAGCTGGATCGTAAATCGTATTAATACGCTGCTTCAGCCAGATAAAAATATATGGCAAGTTACACATCACTGAATCATGTATTTACTGTGTATATGTCTTTGATGGGTTCATCCATTTGTATATTTTTGATTTTGCAGAAAGGGTGCTGTGTTTATTTTGGCTAAGGCTTCAAAATGGCTTTCATGCTGCGATACTGAATTCTGTTCCCAGGACATTAACCCCAACGTTTTCAAAGAGCTGAGTGGAGTAACTGGAAATGGGGTGGTTAAAGTGTTGTACAATTCTTTAAAAAGATGCTTCCTATGCAGTGAACATTAAAATCATACCAAAGGCTGGTAAATAATTGGAGTACACTGAAAAACTTGATTATGTATTCACAGTCCTTACAGTCCTTCCGCTTTTGTAAGCTAGTAATAAATCTAGATCTCGGATTACTATTGTGCTGCTACTTGAGATGTAAGTGATGATTTTTTATTTTTCATAATTACAGAAACGTTGACATTGTGCATCCTTATGATTTCATTGCCAGGTACTGATCTGGCTGCTTTGGTCTTTTCAAGCAGCTGTAGAGATTTTTAGAAACAAGAGAACCCCTTAGGTGATGTGAAAATGCCTCTGATCTGAGATGTCTGCTTGGCACTTCACTATATCATATAGACATGTCCTCATCCATACTTGCAGTTCTAGTGGTGACTGTGGTATGATTATACTTGAGCTAGCACGTGGGCTCTTAACAGTCCAGCCTGTAGCAGCAGCAGACTTGGTAATTACCCTTCTGACTGAGTATGGCAAAAACATACTATTAAAGCTTGATGCCTTTTGTCTACCTGGAGGAGCAGACAATAGATTTTATTTGGGATCTGCCTATTGAAACCACTTGTTTTAATATGGCTGCTAAGTGTCTGTTGCCATGTGCCTATGATTCTCCTGCCTTCTTCATGGAAATTTGCGAGAAGCAAGTGGAAAACAAAAGTGTTAACGATACTGAACAAATGCACAAGTTGTCTTAGGTTCAAACACACTTTTTCTCCTCTCTTTCTGCAGCAGATTGAATCAATTATGCAATCTTAGTTACCATGTTTATTTTTATTTTAACTTGGTGTTGCCCATGATGAATTTTGTTTGTATTTTCACATGCAGCAGTGCTGAAAATGGGATGAATGTTGGGATACTAGACATATTCGGATTTGAGAACTTCGCAAGAAATTCCTTTGAACAGCTGTGCATAAATATTGCTAATGAACAGATCCAATTTTATTTCAATCAACATATCTTTGCACTTGAGCAGGTAAATTCAACTCTGATGAGGTCTAGTTGAATCAGCCGTCCTGAACCATAGATGATATTCAGGAGTACATTATAAACTATAAAATGGGTATGTGATTTAAATGCAAGATAGTGACATCTTTCAGTTGAAGTTTTGTAAATAACGTTGTTGGGGCCTACAGAGTATTGCTGTGCATCTGTCCTGGTGCTTAGTTGCTGACTGGGGTTAAACCACAACAGCATCATAAATGTCCTAATGATGATGTTGCTTTTACTGGTTCAGTATTAAAACTGTGCTGGTGACTTTGTAGATGGAATATCAGACTGAGGGAATTGATGCTACTGCAGTGGAGTATGAGGACAACCGTCCACTTCTAGATATGTTCCTCCAGAAACCCATGGGTCTTCTGTCTCTACTAGATGAAGAAAGTCGATTTCCTCAAGCAACAGACCTAACTTTAGTTGGTATGTGCAAACAAAAATTCTGGGAAATAACAAATATATTTTGAGAGGGCAGAATGACATCTTTACTCAAGTTTTACTAGCCTAGTTGTCCTGCTGATGCTGTGCCATTTCATTTGACATTTTAAGTATATTTTTCATTGTGCTTCATCATTTTTCTCTGCTTACGTGTTTTCTGCTCTTTTTATATTGCAAAAGTTATCTTATATATCAGGTGTCAAGGGCCTATTTTCTTTCCACTGTTACAAGGAAATAACCTGTGTCTTGTCTCTGTATGTGAGGTACATCAAGCAGCGTTTATCCCCATTTACTGAAAGGAAGGCTGAGACATAATAGAATCTTGTGTCTAGGACCACCCTGTGAGCAGCATTAGTGTTGAGAGTAAAATTTAGATCTCCCAGGCTCCTAGGCCCATGTTTATCCAATTAGAAAATACTGCTTCACTCCAGATTATCTCATCATAAATAGAAAGTGTGTGTTATTTCTGGTGTGCCATCTGGCTGAATATTTCCCTTCCTTCATGCATATTTTATGTATATTTTAACAAATCTTGGTGCCAACTTTAAAACGTGCAGTGCATGCCATGTTTAAAACTGTTGTCTTGCTTTTATTTACTAGAGCCACATTTTTCCCTGCGATATGAAACAGAGAGTTCCAGTTCCTTCAATGGAATGTGCAGCAGAGACTCAAACTGTTAGTCAGAGAAAAATAACAGCTGCCTGTTAAATTGCACAATATATGTACAAAATTTTTCGCTTCTGCTAGGCTGAGTTGAAACTTAAATTTAGGTCGCAGATAGAATGAATGCTATGGTTTCATTCCAGTCCTCATTTGTGTACTAAAGCTGTGTGCCTCCCTGTGGGTCCTATAAATCAGTTAATACTGAATATTGAACTTAGGCTTTCACAGAGGCACTTTCCTTGGTCCAATGCCAATCAGTGTTACTGCTTATCTGTACACAGTACAGCAGGATCCCTCAAGAAGACAGCAAAGTGGGATATTTTGCCCTCTCCAGATGTGCCAGACAATCATTAATTTCACCACCCTCCCTCCCGCCCCTCCAAAATTCCAAGCTTAGTTCTTTTTGCTTTAAATACAAGCTTTAATAAATATTAATAGAAAGAAAAACTTAACACAAAATTTTAATGGATTCTAACATTAGAAAAAACATTGTGATACTATTTTCAGACCTACCCAACATGACAGACAATTTTATCAATTGATTCTGGCCTCAGGTCTCTAGTTGCTTGTTCAGATAAAGAAATATAATAGCAAGTTTTACAGTATCAGCACTAATTTAATTACAAAATACTAAAAGCATACAAAATATCACAGGGCATAAAACCCATTTTTTTTAGAAAATTATGTTTCTTTTTCTGTCAGCTCTTTAGAGGTAGTCATGGGAAACAGCCTTTTTAGAAGAGGTTTTAGATGGAAGCCTCTTTTTCTGTAGAAGTCCAAAGGTAAGTGAGAGGTGGTCCCAGGCTGAAGACATTAACGTATACTTAAAACATGATGCACAAAGCTAAATGAATGGGGAAAGGAAGGTAGGGAAAATACAAATAATAGGCATTTGAGAAAGCGAGATACATGCACAGCTTTGAATGTATGTAGTTGAAATAAACCCACCCCACACCCTATATATACATATAAGCAAATTCATAGCAAAATATGAAAAGTCGTCACACCTTCCCATTGACCCCTCTTATTTGATAGTTTTCCATGCACAAAATTATCCACAAACAGTGGGGTTTGAAAGACGGTCTTACTGGGCTAGTTTAGAATGAGCTGTTCCATTCAGAAGTGGCAACTTGGAAGAAAGCACAGAGAAGCCGGCACACAGCTATTTCTGAGCAATCTGATAATACGTGTTTATAGTAGTTCTGGCTTCTTAAGCATCAAACTGTCCCTAATTAGGATGAAGATTTTACTTAGTCACTCTAAGTCTCTTCTCAATGTCTAGATAAATTTGAAGATAACTTACGATGCAAATACTTTTGGAGACCAAAAGGAGTAGAACTGTCATTTGGTATTCAGCACTATGCTGGAAAGGTAAGGTCATGTGATTTTTATTTAGTTCAAATAACAGTGGTATGGTTATTACTTGTTTTATCCAAAGTTTCTGCTTTATGATTTTTTTTCTCATTTTAAGAGACAAAATGATAAAGTTTACAGAAACCTAGAATCTACAATAAAATTTTCATGTGTAGTAGTCCATTTTAGAACCTATCCTTAGGGCTCTTTCACAAATTGTGTAGACAGTAACCACCTTTTATTCCGAAAGAAATCTGGCACTAGAAACACTGTTACTACAATAATTTCAAAGGAGCAACTCTCTGGAGCCAAAACAGGCTGCACAATTGTTAACATCGTGTGAATGCCACAGTAGTTCTGTGTGTGAGTGTATGTAAGTATATGGATAAAATGCAATGTAAAACAGCATCTGTGATAGAACTTAAAATCCTATAGAGAGCATTGGAAAGACTGGAGCTAGCTAGGACAGATGTTTTCTTGTACTCTGTAGTACCTAACTTCCTTTGTTCTCAGCAGTTCACATATTATTTTATATGGGGAATAACTATTATATTATATTATAATTTATATGGGGGAATAATAATTATATTATAAATAATATAATTTACTTAATAATAAGCAAAATTAACGGGTTCTTGTATGAATACAAATAGCCAGGCATTAATTTATAATAAAAACAATAAAAATAATGGAAATAGATGACTGTTTTGTTTTCCTACTATTATTTTCAAAGCAGTGAGAAGCCTATTTTAATGTACCTAGATGTGCAACTTACTCCTGTTTGTCCAACAGGTCTAGTTACAGATCACAAGTTTGGTGCAGACAACAAGTAGATGGTGACCACCTGAGAACCATTTCTTATTTTACACGTAAACTGTCAGCTTAAGCTTTAATGAGGTGTATCTGTTATATTGCATCATGCATACCATAGTCTGATGTGACAAAGCATAATACAACATGATTTAAGCCATTTAACCCAATCTGATATGCAGTGACATGCTATGAATATAGGTGCTGTTTATAGCCAGTTCACATTCTGAAGTCACTGCTGTAGCTGTACACTTTTAAGTCTTTTGCAGATAATTCATTGGCTTTTCAGAGCCAAACAAACTGGTCTACATGGTCATCTTGACTGTTCACGTTTTAAAGAACATAGTAGTTTTTGGGTAACCCTTTTTGGCAACTTTTCTGATTCTGTTCCCCATGCTAGGTATTATATGATGCCTGTGCATTCCTTGAGAAGAACAGAGACACTCTTCCTGCTGACGTAGTTGTGGTGTTGCGAACTTCAGAGAACAAACTTCTTCAGCAGCTGTTCTCTAGCCCATTAACAAAAACAGGTATTTTCTGCACAGTTTTGCTAACATTGCAGAGTACTTTTCAGCTACCTACTCCTCTAAAACTTTTAATTGTTTCTGGACAATTTTTTTTTTATTCTTTTACAGCTCTGCTGTTTAAAGTTTCCTAGATATCTAAAATGTTACGATCATATTTTTTTTTTAAATATGTGGACATGAATTCTTCTAAAAAACCCAGGCAGCAAGATTCATCCCTCACTCCAGAGAAAAGGAGATTATATGACATGTAGGGCAAGAACTCATTCTCAGAGCAGGATGAGAATATGGAAGTTTCTTGATTCTTAGTCCTTTACTAAGATCAGTTCTCAGTTGATAGATTCTTGTGTACTGTGTCTTACAGTTCATAAATCATGTAATGTAGGTCAAGTTGTTTTGGAGATAATATCCATCTATTTAGATGCATTGATGCAGTACATAAAGTTTCTTACAAATCATAAAAACCACATACTAATCTGCTAGAATTAATTAATTCAGTTGATTGAAATCTTGTTGACACTGACTTACATGAAAGTGCACAGATCTATAGCTAAATAAAACAGTAAGATGAAGTTTGATTACTCCATGGATAAGTGCCAGAATACCAGTAACCTATACAAATTATAGGTCTGCAGTATACATGCAAACAAGCCAACAAATGCACACATCTTTCAATACTTTCTACATTTTTAAAGTATCTTTTTCATAATGGGTAAGAAAAAGATGTAATACTAAGGAATAATGTAAATATGATGGATTGTATTAGGTTGCAAAATTCTTGTGATCTGATATGACATAGGCAAATGAGGTTGTATTTTTAGATAGAAAGAAGTGTACATGCATTAGGTAGTGCTGTGTAGACTTATTGTACATGAGCTGTAGATGTAATTCTGTGCCTGTACAGCAGCTCTGTGGGGGATTTCTGGACCCTCAGTAGCCCAGTCATAGCCTCTGGTGATGCCTTTAACCTCTCTTGAGATTTCTACGTAGAAAAAGAACATCTGGAGAAAAACGTGTATTGAAGCCTTCTTTGCACATGTAAAACTGTTTATATTCTACATAGGATAGATTCCTGTTACAATGTCTCTGTTCTTTTCCTGTAATGAGAAGGCTGTGGATTACCCCCCTTCAAATTATGCTTTTAGAGGTCTCTGAGAGGTGAGGATCCAATGAGGAATCTGCTTCTCCTTTCAGCTGTAATAAGCTTAGGTGGAAGGGGATATAGTTTAAGATGGAGTAGGATTGGTTTGTGCCCAAGTGGGGAACAAAGAATCTTTGTGTCTACTTGTGACATTTGAGTCCATGTTAAACTGGTAAAAGAGATTCTTTTACTCATGCTGGATGAATCAAGCAAAGCAAAAAGGAAAGTTCACATCTAGTCAAATGTGCCACCACACCCCTCTTTACTAGCCATTTTATATCTTGGGGCTGTTGTCAGAATGAAATAGATTAGGTGCTTTGTCCCAGTTATCAGTCCCAATTATTTTAAACATTATACTTTTGATTTTATTGCTATTTTAAAATCAGAATGCTGATGCTTTTATGCAAACTCATCTTCCTCTGGCTTTTTAGAGATATTTTCAGTGCCAGCAGCACTGAACTTGGGTATTTTGCCCAAGATGCATAAATGGTTCAGTAAGAAGATACTTCTCATTGCAGTAATGTATAGTTACCGTGTTGGTGTATTTCCACTTTTTTGTCTTGTCTCTTACATTCCTTCCTTGTTTCCTGTTTACATGAATTGCATGCTTTCTGCCTCCCTTTATAGAACATTTACCTTTCCATGAAGAGCACACGGCAAGTTGAGTGTTGTCTGTATTTCTGTCAAGTTGGTATAGCGCATCCTGTTAAAAAAAATTACTGTGCATATGCTCCTGTGCGTGGTGTTATAAGAATAGCTTAAAACCCTTATGTCATTTCTATTTTTTAAAAGTCTCTGTGATTTTGCTCTATTTTTTCCAGCTGTCTAATATAATTGGCACTCACATCCTGTGTTGGGGCCTCTGTGTTCTAAAATCAGATTGTTGCCAGGTTTAGTTTTGGCAGCTTGCAAGATAAATGAAAGGTTTGGCTGAGAACAGAAGGTATCGCTGGCAATGCTGCTTCATCTCTGCTCAGTGAAGAAAGATAATGCTATTCTCTTAACTTTCTACAAAGAGGCTTTTGTAAACAAAAGAACAGTGACTGTGTAAATGTCCCATCATACTCTGTCCTTGCCTCTTAGCCCTCTTCCCTCCACTCAACATGTGCTTCATTCCTAAAGCAAACCAGAAAAAATACAGATTAAGATTCATAATCTTGATACAATTTTCTCCAGCTTTTTGTAGATTAATGACTGATGCAAAAGTTAATAATTTACATGGAAGCCATAGTGCATCTTTCCAGGTAACCCTGACTTGAAGTGAGCCTTCTGCCAGTATCTCTGGTGTTTTGTTTGAAGATGAGTGACAGCACATTCTCACATCTGCTTGCAACTAGCTCTGGAATTTGCAGCGTAGGTGGTTTTTGCCAAGCAGCAATCTCCATATGTGTAATAGTCACTAGGTGGTGCTATCCCAGAAGCAAGAGGGAATTTGAGACTGGTAACATGGGTCTGACAATTACTGAAAATGTAGTTCTTAAATACCAGTAAGAACAAAAAGATGCCTTTCCCACCCTGAGAAGATCCTCTGTTTGAAGTATATTTATATAACTGTCATGTCTTCCGCTGTCAAAAACTGAGCAGCAGCAAGAAAATAAATATTAAAAAGACTAAATTCTTTTACTAATTTAAGATCAAGTTAATCCCTGTAATTTATCAAATATACTTATCCCCTCTTAACAAATGCTTCTATTTCACAGTAGCAAACTGTGTAGTTTAAAGGGCCAGAAATTAGCAGCAGGACATTAAATATACATTTGTAATAGTAATTTATGGTTAAGAGAGTGCACAATTACTAATATGAGACACCAGAACTTAAACATGCTGGCACTAATTTTGTAGCGTGTACAGCATGTTTTGTCATCTTTCAGTGGAAACTTAAGCACGTTTGGCACGTTTTGGAATCTGTTTGCACTTTCTAGGGACCTTTAACCTCAAAACTGAATGAACATATTCTGATTTCACTTACCAATTCTCCCAATTGCTTCCATATTTGTTACTTTTTTTCTACAGACAGAGCTTCTTCTGCTGAGAATTCTGTATATTCTGAAATTAAAATAGAATTTACTCCAAACAGGAGAGAGAAGTAGTGTTTAAAGAAAAAAAAGTTGCCACTACTCCAGTTGAATATGCATGTTCCCATTCTGATATAATGCATTCCTGCTTGTCTCTAGATTTAGTTTATCACTGTTGTAGCTAAAGCATCAGAGAGAAAAGGAATCATGTGATCTAGAAAACAGAGTCCCTTTGTAAGAGAAGAGGGATTTAATTGGAAAAATTAAGGAGAGCCTTGGTACATTCGCTAGCGGTATCAGTGAGGAGTCAGACCATTTGACTCACTGTCCTGATATTCAAGAATTTTTGCAGCATCACCTTTAAGTGGTGGTACCATCGGACTGCTTGGGCAAAGCACCACTGGGGCTTTTTGAGACTGCAGCTCCCTCTTCCACTTTTCCTCTCTCTTACCTTATGTTTCCCAGCTGACCAAATCATGCTGGCGGGATAGGGAGGTGTGCCAGAGGGGCTTCATCTTCTCAGAAAAGCTTCAGCCCAACATGATTCTCTACTTTTGAAACACAATCTCTGCAGACTTTTTTCCCCTTCTATGACTCTCAGACCTTTAGAGCTTTCATTAGCGTTGCTCTGCTCTGCCCTAGGTCCTTGCTGGAGAGAGGGGGGAGAGTTGCCACCTGGAGGGAGGGAAAGGGAAATCCTCCAGCCTTCCCACCACCAGAGCAGAGACGCTGGGAAACATCCCTGTCCTAGCTCTGAGGATCTGTAGGGGCTGGGCTTGGCTGCATAGAATAAATGCAGAGCTGAATACCATTACCACTACAGCAACAGCATATCTAATAATTTTGGTAGCATTGGGTATTGCTCACACATTCAGAGTGATATAGCATCAATATATCATCCATTGCTAATAAACACTTCTTGTTCATGGTGCCTAGATATTTGAGCATAATCTGTCAAAGAGAACTGGGAGAAGGTTTTCACAACCTTCGCTGAAGAGTTAGGATAGTGATGTTTTAACATGGGAATTTTTTTGTCCAAAATAGGAGGAAAATAGATTTTTTTCAAAACCCCATTAATTATAATTAGCCTGCCTAAAGGTCATTTCCCCTCCTCAGTATTGATTTTTAGTTTGTGTTCTTTGTGCCTTTGAGTCTCCAGCCCTGCTTACAGCCCTCAGACAAAAAGTAATTATAAACAATGTATGTCTCATGTTAAAAAAAACAAACCAAACAACTAACAGACCATGTGCTGAGAGAGAATGTGAAAAAAATGTTTCAGGCTTTCTTTATGCACACTAAAGAACACAAGAACTAGGACCTTTTGCAAAATCACTTTAAAGAAGCGCTTTTCATCACTCCTTGGTGACAAGAGTACTATCTCAATATTAATTTGTCTGTAACTTTGATAGCAGCTGATTCCTCATGAAGAGTCAGAACCTGAAGGAAACAAATGGATTTTCTTGCATTTCAGTCCCATGAACAGATACTGCTGGGCACAGAGTGAAATCTTGGCCAGTTGAAATTATAGATGCTTTGCCATTGTTTTCGGTGGAGCTATGATTTGACCTATCATGTTTGTCACTGTGCACTCCTATTGAGTACAAGCCCTTCCTCTAGCCGTAAGTAGTGGCAGGTCTCTTGGCTTGGTGTGTGCCATACTTATGCACTGAAATATAGCGTGTTTCCATTTGGGCTTAGCGGATTTTTTTCTCTTAATTCCACACAAGACAAGCAAAAGACTCAAATACATCTTAATTTTACTAATTTATCCTACAATAAAATCTTTTTGTAATGATACTTTTGTGTTAGTATTTTCACCTCTAAGAGATAACTGCAGGCACTCTTAAGTC